GTCGGGCACGGGTAGAGTAAAACCATGCCCGACCTGATGCCTGACATTGCCCGCCTGAAGCCTACCCACTAGAGCTAGCGGGCAAAACTCTGTGCCCGTACCCATGCCCGGCGGGCGCGGGTATATCCGGCGGGTACCCAATGGATCTCACATGAATAATAACTTGAAAGATATATAATTTAACAAAGATAAATAAATCCATAATTTATCAAATTATCGGTTATCAACAATAATTTGAATTACATCACAACTTAGTATCAGTTAGCATCACAAATGAACCGAGAGAAATTGTATAAGAATTAAGAAATGAGTCAAATTAGCTAATACATATGTATCGGGTCGGGCATGGGTTATCCACGGGTAAAAAATGAAACCCACCTATTGTGCATAACGTCTTCGGGTCTCGGGCGGGCGTGTCCATGGGTAAAAAGTCACATCCACGCCCGTGCTAAAATTGCCATCCCTAGCCGCCGCAACCATTACTTTGTACACTGTTCTGTTTTGTCATCTAGGAAACGTACTTATCCAGCCTGAGATGAAGAGGAGAAGCGACAGCAGTAGCCAATGGATCTCTGTGGTGGTCATACACAAACAGCCAAAGCAGCACCCGTGGGCTAGGGATGTAAAACAGACGGTAACTATTACCGCGGACCGATAATGAGAAATCGACAATGACAAAAGGGGTAACACACGACATCTAAAACGGTTTTTAATGAGTAAATGAATAAAAATTTATAGACTTCAGATCCTCTCGATTAGAGGTAATACCTATTTCTGTTTTAAAATTGTATCAACTGAGTGAGTGTTGTATTGATTTGACGATCTCAATGTGGTTCACTACAGTACAATAAATTTACTTAATCCGTACAAACTAAAATGAAAAATTGGGACACAATCGAATTGTTTTAAGTGGCACTTGGACATAGTATGTTGGTTCATTGTGCAGGATCCCCTGTGTTGTCAGTTGTCACTACCACTGACATGTGTGGCTGGCATGTCGGTGGCAATGAGTACAGCAACGGATCTCAGTCCGTTTGGTTTACACACTTATCGCTGTGTTTACATCCAAAGTTTGGATCCAAAATTCAGTCCTTTTCAGTCACATCATCTTCAATTTCAACCAAAATCTAGACTTTGCGCTGAACTAAATACAACCTATATAACAGTTCGAACGGGAAATTGTTTTAACAGCTCGGTGGATGTCCACCCGTTTATTGCACGTTGTCTAAATAGTTATGAAAAAAATTAAAAAAATATGAACAAGATAAATCAATACATAGTATATCAATCCACAAACATGCAAGTTAAAATTTAACTTCCACAGATTGTAACAAAAATAACAAACAAAACTCAAATTACTATAGGTATATTTACAATTAAATTTGTTATTTTTGTTACAACTCGTAAAATTTGAATTTAAACTTGCATATTTGTGGAGTGATATATTACATATTGATTTATCTTATCAATTTTTTTGAAAATTTTTCGTAACCATCTAGTTGACATGCAATAAAGGGTGGACCTCCAGTCGAGCTATTAGAATGGACAGTGCAGTTCGAACGTGTTATCTTTTTTTTTCTTACTAGAAAAGATACCCGTGCGTTGTAACGGGTCAATATTATTTTAATTTTGTAATTGTTATTTTTTTTATTTTTTTTTTGAGAAACACAGTACAAACGTAGGCGCTCACAACGTGCGCACACTCACCCCTATGAACACGCACACACACCCTACCCCTATGAGCACCTCCGAAAGACTGAGCCGGCATGTCTTGAACACGCACACACACCCTACCCCTATGAGCACCTCCGAAAGACTGAGCCGGCATGTCTTGAGATTGACGAAGTCACCACAGGCGTCTCGCTGTCGATGGGTACGTCGCCTACCACTGAAAGAATAATTAGCCGTAAATGCGAGCACCCGTGTCAAATCTAGGATTTGAACCCGGGTGGGCTGGTTCCACCACAAGAAACCTAACCAGTTGAGCTATGCTCACTTCGCATAATTGTTATATGGTTTGGCTATGGTAGAATTCAGGGAATTCGCTTGGAATTTTTCCTAGAAAATCATGTGCTGCAATTAGGAGTCCAGCATTCATCTCAAGTTAACATGCAAGCTTTTTTAAAGAGATTTCTTATACAACACCTTTTGTATTTCCAAATGCACAACACGAATATGTATTTCTAAAAGCGAACAAATTTAAAACCTGACTCAAACACGGATGACGTACCAAAAATACCCGAAAAACATCTTCAATTTTTATAATGAGTACTGCTATACATCCGACCCTATTGTTCGACCCCAGTCCGACCCTGCCGTATCTGCTAATCAATTTACACCAACGAGCCAGCTGCTCTCCATGTGGGCCAGAGCAAGGAGCAGGTAAGTACTGGTCGGATGCTAAGTCGTACATACTAGTCGGATGTGTAGCAATTTCCTTTTATAATAGTAGAGATAAAACCCATATGGGCGTTATATTTAGCATGAAGTTTCATGTGTGTTTCAATCCACTTCACTCCTCTCCCCCACTAGGGCGGCCCAAATGTTCCGCCCGGCCCGGCCCGGCCCATTAAGGCGCAGCCGCACGGCTGGTGTGCCAAGCAAAGCAGGGGCATCGCCGCCGGTCATCTTCCTCCTCGCGCCGCCGCCGCAGCTGTCCTGCGATCTTCGCCCCGCGTGTCTCTCTCCCTCGCCGGCACAGTCCTCCTGGCTCCTCCTGTACGCCCCACGTATGGCCACCTGATGTAGTGCTGCACCACCCTCCCCCATGACCGGGGTGACCAGCTTCTCTACAAACCGCGCGCAATCTGGCCTCTACATCAATCCTCTCGATGGGGGTATTCGAGGTGAAGTGGCAACGAGGCCCCAGCTCTTGGCCCTTTGCCGCTCGCTGCCGGATTCGAGCAGATTCGGCACCTTCTTCCTTTCTCCCGAATGACAGATTCTGCACAAGCGCCAACCTATCATTCGCCGACCGATGCTAGTCAGGTTAGCGGATTTATTGGAACTTATCTGTACTAATTTTGAATGCATTTGTAGCACCTATTGTGAAGTTAAGCAGACAGGGTGCACTAGTGCGACAGTAGTTCCTGCCTGTTGCCACAATTCCACAGAACAATTGATGGTTTATTTGGAAATCTCATGACATTTCTAAACAACTGATGGTTGCAGAAGGGAGCAATACTGTGTGCTAATGGGATTAAAAACTTAATAGTTGATAATAGGCATAGTCAGAACACACCCTAGATGACATCTGACCACTGTTAATTTTTTTTAAAAAGAAGTCCACCCGGCTGCTGCATGATGGATTGAACTGCGAACTTTATTTTTATGTCTACATTGCTTTAATTTGGTCCTTTTCCTGTTTAATACAAGATGAGTGTTGTTTGGATTTGGCATTATGCTTGAAGAAACACGAACATAGTTCTGTTAATTAGGTAGTGCCACTAAGATCACACAACAATAAAAGATTGATCACCTGGAAGACAAAATGCACTAGCCCTGTTCTTTGGTTTTTTGATTGCTCAGGACACATTGCTTCTGTACTTCTGTTCTATAGAAGATTGTGCAATTCACTAGTGCAAACATGTTTATTTCCCCTCATTGCCGTGATCAATGATGGTTGCATCTAGTGCGCCTGTTGTTCTGGTCACTGCAACCATCTACATGACACTGGTAATCTGTTAGTTTGCATAATACGAAAAAATAGATTACAAGGGTAATGATGTTTTGGTGTAATCCAAAGGTTTTTTGTGGCGACCCAAAAATTACAGCATGATGTAACTTGTTAGCTGCTGATCTGCAGTCTTCCAATACTTTCCTTGACATTCTATCGTGTCCCATGAATACTGATCCTTTTGATATGGCCGATACTCTTATGAGCTTTGCATCCAATGTCTTGTCCTTTTTGCCGAAGCTTCTCTATAAGCTCCTCCGAAGTATCTCGGACCTCTAACTCCTCAAGTACTCTAAGATGCTCAATGCCATGAGGAAGCGTCTTCAATTTTGGAAGGTCTCTTAGAATTAACTTAACCAGTCTTGGCATTGCACCTTGTTCAATCTCAACTTTGTTCAGACAGGGAGCATCCCATATTAATAAGCGCTTGAGTTTTGGAAACGATGTTGCATGGAAGTATAGCCTGTTTCCTTCATAAGCTTTCAAGAGATGAAGTTCGCACAAACTATCCAAGTTCAGTAAACAGCTAAATGAGTCCTCACTGAGTTTGGAAAAGGCGAGGCTTAACCTAGTGATGTTACAGCTACTCTTATTTGACAAGACGACAAGATGAGGCAATGAATTTGCACTTAGCTGTCCTCCTAATGAGAGCGTTGAAAGAGCAGGAGGCATATGAAGTTCTTCAAGCTGTAAGATTTCCTTCTCATCTATTCCCTTGATTTTTAGTTGAAAAAGATGACTCATTTTCATGATAGCATTGCACAAATAGACACAATGTTCCTTTCTAACTTTGCTAACAGCGAAAGCCCTCAATTGTGTCAATGATCCAATATGGCGTAGAATTTCGCTATTTGCATCAACCATTTGCAGCGTTTGCAAGCTTGTCAACTGTACTATTCCAGTAGGCACCCTGATTCCACTGAAAAACACAACCCTCTTATCTGCTTCCTCTGGAATCATATCTACATTTAGATATCGCAATTTCCGAAGTTGCACAATGTCCTTAGGCAAGGTCATCAGTTTAGTGTAGCGAGCATCTAGGACTTCCAAGTGTCGAAGTCTTCCAATCAATCGTGGAATAACTTCAATGTTAGTATCTCTAAGACCTAAGAATCTTAGATTGTATAGGTTGAAGACCACATGTGGCAGGCTCTTGATATTAACCCCTTGCAAATCCAACGATGACAGCAATTTGAGCGATTTCAGAAAGGGTGCCAACGAATCGATACTTAGAGAACTCCCAAAGACGTAGAGGTGGCGTAGATGAGGTGCACCTGATCGAGACAGTTGATTGATATTTGAACTTTGGAACGATAAACGTCGCGTACCCTCTGCTAGAAAGGCCATGGAGCCATCATAAACTCTACCAAAATGTTCCTCTTCTGATTTTGCCAAAGCAAGAATGCGGATAATATCATGCATTCGACAGGTATGCACTTCTCCATTTCGATTCCTCTCTACTACTTGCAATAGGCTTCGGTTTACGAGTTTATGCAGATAGTCGTTTGCAACTTCCTCCATGGTTTTGTTGCTTGTTTCTCTGATGAATCCTGCTGTCAGCCAATGCCTCACTAGCCTCTTCCTTGGCATCAAGTAGTCCTCTGGAAACATGGTGCAGTGTAGAAAACAGTTCTTTAGATCATGTGGAAGCTCTTCCAAGCTAACTTTTAGAACAACATTGATGTCAAGGATCACATTATTAGTCAGCTGTGATTGCACATCCTTGTAAAGATTCTCCCACACATCATAGCTTGGTTCTTTGAACGACAGCAGGCGACCTAAACATGCAATTGCAATGGGTAGGCCACTACACCTGTCCAAAAGCTTTTGAGCCACAATCTCAAGTTCTGGTGGGCAAACTTTTTCTTCATTTTTCCAGAATGCTTCCTTGCAGAATAATTCCCATGAATGTTGTGGTCCAAGTGGTTCTAACTGAATTATACAGTTCCCTGTCGCAAGCAGTGCTACTTCATGTATCCTAGATGTAATGACAAATCGACCGGTGCTATCTGAAGGAAAGGCAGCTCTTATCTTAAACCAAACATCCACAGCCCAAACATCATCCAGAATTAGGACATACCTTTTACCATGCAGATAATTACGGATGTGCTCAATTAAATTTGTGATTCTCATGGTAGAAAAATCGATGTGGTTATACAAGTCCTCCTGTGGATCATTGTTGATGAATCCTCTGATGATCTGCTTCAGTAAGTCCTCAATTAGGTAACTTTTAGAGACAGTTACCCACCCTGCTGCATCAAACTCTGTCTTTACAGCATAGTAAACATAAGCAACCAATGTTGTCTTGCCCACTCCACCCATTCCCCAAACTGTAGTAATTATGCTTCTTTGCTGTTCCAAATTGTTTTTCAACCAATGTGTCAACAATTCCCCATTCTTTCCAATCCCGACAAGATCTTCTTCCCTTGCAAAATTACCTGAAGATGTCGAGCAATCGTCGATGTTGCCAGCTACACTTGAAATTCCTCTCATGTCGTACGTCACCTTTCTCCTGTCAGCACTCTCTATCTTGAGCTTGATGTATTCCAGCTTGGATGCGAGATGACGCCATGCCTTGATATGTCTGATGCTCTTTACGATCTTGGAGGCCAACCCTCCATGTGATCTATCCTCCAGCATGTAAGTGAACTCATCGACAATATCCTCGATCTCGAAAGCGAGGTCACGGATCTTCTTGATGAAGTTGGCAGTGGTTTCATCCGTGTCCTTGAACCGCTCGGCACCTCGGAGAAAGGATTGCATGCCCTCCAGCTCCTCCTTGACTTCGCGGATTCCTTGGAAGAGCCGTGAAAGAGCAGTTGCTTCATGGAAGAGCTTCTTTGCACCTAAGATTGAAGTCTCTCTCCCCAAGGCCAAACCAAGCTTCAGTATCAGCAAGGCCACAACACCCTCTGCCATTGATGTGTTTCTAGTGAATTCCTCTCAGGGTCTCAGGACAAAGTCCCAGGACAAAGCTAGAAAATGGCTAGGGAGATGAGGATGGCATATAATTAAATGCAATGGTACGCAAAGAGGAAGGCTCCCAGCAATTGCAGTTGGAGTGTTTCCTGAAAGAACTATGTTAGTAAATAAATTTCCACTCTGCTGTCTTGGATATTAAATTCCATGTCTTCAACAAAGATGTCAAGTAATACAAGAAAGGGACCACTTTGGCTGGCTGGATGGATTGTGACCTTCCTACTACTCAATTCGTACATAAATTATATTACTAATCCCATTAATCATCCCCATTTAAATATCCTCTTATCTTACCCCCGATCAACCTCATACTACCCTCACAACACATCATTTGTCAATACAGGGAGTATCTCTAGGACAATTGTTACACCATGGAAGAATGGTGAACAATGGTACTGACCACATGACGCATACAGAACATAATCATCATGATATCCTAGTATGTATTTTAAGATAATAGAACTAAATACCATAATCATCATGATTTTTTTGGTCCTATGTGATGACCTTCCAATAGATCACAATCGCACTAATTACCAATCTTCATGTCATACATGTCAATAAGAAATTAGTAGTTATGAGATTTTTTTTAAATTTTTAGAATATCAGCCATCTAGTACAAAGTACAAACATGCAAATAGTGATTGAACTTACTGCCTACTCCCTCCGTTTCATATTAGTCGTTTAACTTTTTTCTTATTCAAGCTTCTTCTACTTCCTCTGTCCCAAAAAGAATCAACATAGGATTAGAATATTATAGGTTGATTCTTTTTGGGACAAAGGGGGTCACATCCCCTCCTAGGTTGATTTTTTTTGGACGGAGGGAGTATGTTTGACTAAGTTTGTAGAAAAATATAATAACATTTTTAGTATAAAACCAACCATATTATCAAAATTTATTCAAATGTTGAATTTAATGAAACTAATTTTGTGTTGAAGATATTACTATTTTTTTATAAACTTGATCAAAGTTAGAGAATTTTAATTAAGAAAAAAGTTAAACGACTTATAATACGAGAGGTGAGAGTATTAACTGAACATAATTGTGAACAGGCATGGCATTTGCCTCAGTCATTATTTGTGAACACTTTGTTTTCTGCTCTAACTGAAATGGCGAACCAAAAACATTCAACTCTTAGGTATGAACAAGTACAGAATTGAGTAAATTAAAACACCAATTGCTTGGTCCATGCAAAACTAGTAAAAATGATAAATACATATTTATAGCTTCAATAGAACTTCTTTTTTTTGATGATTAGACTATCAGTTGTGAACTACTCTGTATTTGACATTCAATACAACTAAAATAAAATTTTCTGGTTCCATTCATATTCATATAGCTGTGTACAAACTGCTCACTAACTAGCTCATTAAGATTTGCCCATGCGTTGTACCGTACGATCGTCCTCAGATCTACTGACAACTTAGTGATTAAGGTGCCGTTAGTCCGGCGTGCACACAGCGGTTAAACCGGCTACGCCGAGGACTTCATCAAGTTAGAGGGTAAACTTTTATTTCTATTAAAAGTTTTGGTTTTTGTGCTCCTATCGTCCACCCCCTCTGGTAGGTTTGGTTTCTTGTGTTCAATTCTACATTTGATTCTGGATAGAAAGAACTTTGTTGCAGCTATAAATAAGTCTATAACCAAAGTTAATTTTCTTTATAGATAAAACTAACTTTGTTTTGGTTTTCAATAGAAATAACTTTGATTCCAGATAGAAATAATTTAGTTCCATATAGAAGTAAATTTGTGTTAAGATAAAAGTAACTAGTAATTTTGTTTTTTTATCTCTAGAGGTAATTTTGTTTATAGATAGGAGTACCTCTATATTTATGCTTGACCTGGTAATTCTGCTGGTACCTCTGTAGGAGCACCTCCAGTGATCCAGGATGTGCTGTTTTCTTCTCTTTGGCCAATTATTTATCACCCATTGTTTAACGCCTTTCCGCTTCATCCAAGAGCTTTCAAACGTGAATCTTCTCCCTCTTTTCAGTAACTGTTGCACTTCTAATTCCACCATGATTGTATTGTGATCTTAACCAACTCTTATCAGACTACGCAGAAGGGTGATAGGATACAAGGTTTCCTATACAGTTAACACCAACACCCTACCCAACACCTCTCTAAAATGGTTTAGTTGCTTATTGGTTCAAGTAAATTTATGGCAAAATTTGCTACAGAACACTCAAAGTTTGCGGCCTTTACTGTTAAACACCCAAAGAACGTGTATCTTCTCGTAGACACTGCAAAAATGTGGTAATTAGTTGTTGGACACCCACCGAAACTAATAAAATAATGCGGTAGGTGTACAGTAGCTAATTACCACATTTTTTGCAGTGTCCATGAGAAGATACGTGTTCTTTGGGTGTCTCACAGCAAATGCCACAAACTTTGAGTGTCCTCTGTAACAAATTTTGCCTAAATTTATTCCCCAACCCAAGCAGCTCTATCAAGTCAGCATTAGCTAGGGAAGCATTGAATTTAACAGTCCATTAGATTTTTCCTCTGCTGATTTTACTAAGTTGAAGTCACCTCCAATAAATATAGCCTCTTGCTGGCTTGTCACCTTAACAGACTTTGGCACTATGACCAAGAGAATCCAATGATACCTGCGGCGTTAATATTTAGTAAGTTAAAAACTAAAGTTATACATGTCGGTACTTTCCATCTAAGTAGGTAACATACTTATGATTATGGGTCTTGACAGTCATTAAGTACCAATATCGTTCGCCATCTATCAAAATAAATAAAGGGAAAACTAGCATTTCTTATACGTATTTCAGTAATAATTAATATAGTTCTATTATACTTGGAGAATTAACATGGATGTAGAGAATAAACACCAAACTAAAGGAGAAATAAAGCCGACATGCATGGAAACACACTTTCCAGTGAATCCAGTGCGAGCACACGAATTGAGAGGCCCATAAGTTAGCTCAAACCACCAGGAATCGTCATAGGGGCCCACCTGTCATTCCTTAGTGAATGGCAGTGGAGGGCGGCGGTGCTGAGGGTTCGGCCGAACCGACATTGCCACGCCTCATGTCCACCCTCCACGTGGCGACTCCCCATTGGCCCCTAATGACGGTTGTGGGAGTTACCGACCTCCCTAACCATCATAAGCAGCCTATTTAAAGAGCTCATTCCCTCACCCGCAATACACACCTCAAGGAGCAATCCTCTCTATCTATATTGTATTCTCTATTGTTTTAGTAGAAATAGGCATGGAGTATCTTCGGTCCTATAGTCTTCTCGGAGATTCTGGTACTTAACTCTTCTTATAAGACTATAATTTAATTAATGGAATTATCTTTGTTGTCGAACGGACAACTGCGTCACGTCGAAAGGCGTGGTTCTCTCAACAGTAGTTGGAAGTAAAGACAATTATATTGCTTAGTAAAAATTTTTGGATCTCTCTATTACATGGCCTTAGGGGGCTATTTATAATCCTATTGCAGATTCTCCCTCTTAGGGTTTAGGCTTTACAGGGAAATTTACATGGTTACCCTTATGATAGGGATATCCTTGGGGGCACATAGTGTCCTTTTCATATATGGGCCCCTATCGGGCCAAATAGCTCGGCCCATTGTTTGGCGAAGACTCTAGGAAGCATAACGGCCCGCGGGGCCCCTTTATGACAAGGTTCGGTGCTGGGCGAAGCCTTCGCCTTCGTGCTATGGCCCTCGCCTCATCATCTTCGCCCCTGCGGCCCTCCGACGAGGTCATTGTCTGGCGAAGCCCGATGCGCGGCATCCGCCCGTCTGGTTCCTTTCTCCATCCTTCACAGGTTGTCTCTGGATCGATCTTCTCGCCTAAGTTCTTGGTTTTGGCAGGTTAGGCCGAAGGCCCTTCGTGGTATGCCTCCAACAATCTTCTTTATTTATTTATGCTCTTAGTCTGTGTATTTCTTTATTGAATATGTTTCTATAATTAATATATACTTTGTATATCTGCTTTAGCCTAGGCTAGTCGATCCATACTACGGTAACGATCAAATGACCTTAATGGGTTGCTCTAATTCTAACTTGTCCATCCGAAAGGTGGGAGTCCCAGTATTAGTTAGTGATATTATTTACTAGCATAAGCATAGAGCTCAGGTTAGATAAATATCGTTGGATGTGAGTGTGCCCCATGAAAAGTGAGGTAGGCGGCAGGTGGTGACAACCCTGTTCGTCCCTTGTATTACTCCACGTTAGGGTATGGCGTAAGAGTACGTAAATGCCATAACCATGCTGGCAGATCAGCAGGGAGTGGTATCTCGATAGTACTTAGGTGCCTAGAACTAAGTCATAGTTTGTAAGCATATATATGTTAAGTATTCTCCAAAGCCCGTTTCTGCTAAACATTAATAGAGGTGAATCTCCTGTGTTTCACAGTACTCTTAATCATATATATCCTAACCCCCTGTTTAGACTATGGTGAGTTAATTATATATTGATTAATGGTGTATAAACTACGTTTTTACACCACAGAAATACTCATGTGTGAAGTGCTATAGCGGTATCCGTGCACTTGCGGATTTATCTATGAACATAAGAAATAGCAATAAACATTTTTGGCGTCATTGCCTTGGAAGACACCGGTTAAAGTTGTATACATGAATAATCATCCTATGATTAATGAAACCTTGATCTAAACAGGTTAACCATGATTTGTTTTCTCTTTATGTGAAAACAGGTAGTGTATGACCGGTTTCGAGCTGCCATCAAACTTCGTTGATATTCCAAAGAAACTTGTGAGAAGAGTCTGACCTCGTGTCGTTCCTCCGCAAATCAAGCTATCGGCACCCAAACCAGTCATCTTTGCTCCTTCACGCTCACAACCAATGGCTCAGAAGACCCTTCGTGAATACTCAGCTCCCTTTACTTCCAATGTGTCCGTTGGGCTGACTATCAACACTGGGGATGCCAATTTTGATATCAAAATGGGTCTGACAACTATGGTGTAGACTACCCCGTTATCGGAAGGCCAATGAGGATGATAATGGCCATCTCCAACAATTCTTGGAGCTCTGTGACACCATTGTCATAAAGGGGGTGACTTAGGATGCCATCGGGTTCCGTTTGTTTCCGTTCTCTCTACTCAAGAGAGCGGAACAATGGTTCTACTCCAAGAGAGGTGACATAGACACATGGGAGAGGTGTTCAATTGCGTTCCTTGCGAAGTTTTTCCCTGTGGGCAAAACCAACGCTCTTCATGGAAGAATTTCATGTTTCCAGCAAAAAACTAATGAGTTGTTTCCAGAGGTGTGGGAGAGACTCTAGGAGTACATCCTGGCTTGTCCTCACCATGGGATAGACAATTGGCTCATCATTCGGAACTTCTACAATGGGTTGACATAGTCGAACCGTGATCATATCGATGTTGTTGCTGGAGAAGCCTTTTTCTTATTAACTGATGCTCGCGCGTCTGACTTAATTGAGAAGATGGTCTCCGACCAAAGCTGGAGTGAAGAACGACTCCAACCTCTCATCAGCAGGGCATGGACACTGTCAAGGAGATGGACATGCTCGACGCTAAGATGTAACTCCTAAAGCGCTTGGACGAATGCGCTCAGGACAAGGCGAAGATGTACGGTACTATCCAAGCCTTAGACGCCCCAATGACGTGTGAGACTTATGGCAACACCAAATATTCGTGGAACGATTGCCCCTAGACCAGTGAAGACATTTTGGGATACTGCCACTTAGCCTGTTTTCTCCGAGATCTCACCAGATTTTTTAGCTTGGTGATGCCAATAATTTATCCTTCTAATTGATTATTAGGAAATCAGAGGTGCTTCAAAGATTTAATATCGAAGATATCGTCTCGAAGAGCCCCAATGATGTTGTTGTGTCACGAACAGAGATTCGTCGGAAGGAAGAACAGAGAGAAACAGATAGAAACAGAGAGAAGAACAGGAAGACTTGGAGAGAGGGAAAGAATTCTTATTGAGAGAGAGAGATATTCTGTTCAGTACATAATCGTCATCCTTTCCCCTCTCACACACACATCTATTTATAGAGATTAGCTCATGACAACTATTGAGTCCAATCTCCTCCACTAACACGTGGGTTTGCACGGCGCATGCGCTTGGGCCGAGTTTCACTTGACGGCCCATTCAGTTCAACTGATTGCTCGGCGCCAGACTCCCTTGGCGTGACATTCCCCCCATCTTGAAAATCAGCTTGACCCCAAGCTGGTGCCACTGGAAAGCGATGGCGTAACTCCTCCAAATTCTCCCAAGTAGTGGCAGGAGAAGAAACACCAGACCATTCCACCAACACCTGCAACACCATCTTGTTGCCACGACGTCGTAAACGACGCTGAAGTATTTTACCAGGAACAGCAAGTTGCCCAGCCACCGGATGCAGAGTAGGTAGAACAGGCAAATCCAACTTATAAGCCACACTGCCAATGCGCTGCACAATCTGAAATGGACCATAGAACTTAAATGATAGCTTCTTGTTAGCTCGAGTCATGACCGATTGCTGAACATATGGCTGTAGCTTCATGAATACCCAATCCCCCACACAAAATGATCGTTCAGAGCGATGTGCATCTGCCTGATACTTCATTCGCTGCTGAGCACGCAAAAGATGATGATGAATTAAAGAATTCATGTTATTACGATCATCCAACCAGGAATTGAGCTGATCAGGAGCTCCCACAGAAGCAATAGAGAGACCAAAATAAGCAGGTTTACGGCCAAACATTGCTTCAAAAGGGGACATGGCAAGAGCCGAGTGATAAGAGGAATTATACCAGAATTAAGCAAGCCCCAACCACCGTTGCCACTGAGCAGGACATGCATGAGTGAAACAACGTAAGAACGTTTCCAAACATTGATTAACCCGCTCCGTTTGTCCATCGGATTGAGGATGGTACGAGGAACTCATACGAAGTTGAGTGCCAGCTCGACGAAATAACTCTTTCCACAATTGACTAGTGAACACCCGATCTCTGTCCGATATGATTGCTCTAGGCAACCCATGGATGCAATGCACTTCAGACATAAACAACTGTACCACTGTCAAAGCAGTATAAGGATGACGAAGAGCCAGAAAATGTGCAAACTTGGAAAATTTGTCCACAATGACCAAGATCACATTGCAAGATGTTGACAAAGGTAATCCCTCAATGAAGTCCAAAGAAATTACCTGCCAAGCATGATCGGGTATTTCTAAAGGTTGCAACAATCCTAGCAACTTAACATGCTCCACTTTCACAGGATTGCACAAACTTATTGACAGATTGCCGAAGCCCAGGCCAAGCAAACAACTGTTTCACTCGGTGATAAGTAACTAAAGTACCAGAGTGACCACCAATGGCTGCAGTATGCAAGTTAGCTAAAATCTGTTGCTGCAAAGAATCATTGTTACCAATCCAAATCCTGCTTTTGAAATACAACACACCAGACTGCAACTCAAAATTAGTGTGATGCTTGCCATTCGTAGTCAGAGAATGCAGAACACGCTGCGTGTGAGGATCATTGACATAACCAGCAGGAACATCTTGTAACCAAGCCGGTATGCTAACAGATAGAGCTGAAACCTCAACAATCTCATCAGGAATTTGACGAGATAAAGCATCAGCTGCTCCATTTTCCAAACCCTTATTGTAACTGATGCGATAGCGCAATCCCAGTAACTTTGTTAAAGCCTTTTGTTGCCAAGGAGTTGATAACCGCTGATTGTCCAAGTAGGCTAAGCTACGATGATCTGTGCGAATGATAAACTCAGCATGTTGCAAATATGAGCGCCAATGATCCACAGCTAATATGATTGCTAAACTTTCTTTCTCATAAGTGGATAGACCCTAAGTACGCGGCCCCAAAGCTTTACTAAGAAATGCAACAGGATGTTCATCCTGCATCAAGACAGCACCGATACCCTTCTCTGAAGCATCTGTTTCTACCACGAATTGCTTATGAAAATCGGGCATGGCAAGAACAGGAGCCGAAATCAAAGCATTCTTCAAGGTAACAAAAGCCTCTTCTGTAACAGATGTCCAGACAAACAACTGACCTTTACGCAACAATTCAGTTAAGGGTTTGCAAATCACTCCAAAATGTCGAACAAACTTGCGGTAATAACCAACTAAACCAAGAAAACTGCGAAGTTCCTTGACAGATGTGGGAACCGGCCAATTGTGCATGGTAGTAATCTTCTCATCATCCGTAGCTTAACCTTCAACTGATGATCAGTCAAAATCTGAAAGACTTGTCGCAAATGAGACACATGATCTTCCAAAGAGGTGCTATACACCAGAATGTCATCAACAAAAACCAGGACATTCCTGCGCAAAAGTTTAGCTAAGACATCATTCATGACCCCTTGAAACGTTGCTGGAGCACTAGTAAGGCCGAAAGGAAGAACACGAAACTCAAAGTGTCCATTATGAGTCTTAAAGGCTGTCTTGTGTTCATCAGCAGGGTTCATGCGAATTTGATGATAACCCGAACGTAAATCCAACTTAGAGAACTAAGAAGCCCCTGCCAATTCATCCAATAATTCATCAATCACCGAAAGTGGATACTTATTCTTGACTGTGATAGCATTAAGGTGACGATAGTCCACACAAAACCTCCACGATCCATCCTTCTTTTTAACGAATAAAACTGGAGAGGAAAAAAGGACTTGAACTTGGTTTGATAAGACCCTTATCCAACATCTCCTGAACTTGTCATTCAATCTCATCCTTTTGAATGGGAGTATATCGGTAAAGACGCACATTCACAGGTTGTGCTCCAGGAATTAAAGGAATTGTGTGATCACAGGTTCTCTCTGGTGGCAACCCTTGAGGTTCAAGAAAAATTTCTTCATACTCCTGCAATAAGTTTTGAATGCTGACAGGAATCTCTGATATAGTTGAATCTGATTCACTGACAAACAACTAAATTAACCCCTCCACAGAACCCTGAGTATGCAGAAGCTGCAATTCTTGACATGACAAAGCTTCTGCCTGAGGAACCGAAGGAACCACACCAGATAAAGTGATGAAATGATCATCATGATGGAAACTTAAACTCTTGTTCAGCCAATCAATATCCATAGGACTATTTTGCTCTAACCAATCCATGCCCAAGATAACATCGTAATTGCTAAGTGGCAACAGTTTCAGTGATGAACAAAACTGATGGCCCTGAACTGCCCAGTGAACTGAAGGTAACTCAGTTTGACATTGCAAAATACTACCATTTGCCACCTTTACTTGCAAAGAAACAGGTTACTGTAGCACATCTGACAACTGAGCAACAGCAACTGTACTGATAAAACTACAAGAACTACCCGAATCCACCAACATGAGGAATTCAAACCCTTAAATAACTCCATGCAATCTCATTGTCTGAGCAGTCACCGTACCCTGAATAGCACTGAGAGAGATGGCCATATGTGTACCTGTATCAGAGTTGTCGGACAAAGGAGTAGCACCAGCATCCTCCTCATCCTGATGCAATAAGGCAAAAACTTCCTAAACAGCTGTCAATTGCACTGCTCCTGAACACTTGTGTGTTGGGGACCATTTCTCTGCACAAAGATAACACAGTCCTTGAGCTCGGCGATACGCCTTGAGTGCCCGAATCTTATGAGGTACGCCACCATTCTTGACTTGGTCTGGTAGTTGCCAAGCTCCAGATTGAGTCAACTCAGACAATTTTGGTGGTGGAAGTGGCAAAGGATAAGCTCCCTTCACACGAACAGCCTGGTCACTCGTGTTGCGAAAATCCTTAGATTTCTATGTCTCCACCCATTCTTCCTGTAAACAAGCAACAGCAACAGCAGTTTCGAGGTTGCGAGGACGTTGCAAAAGTACTGCATGACGAATTAGGCCGCAATCCCTCAGTAAACCGATGAACAATGCTAAGGGAATTGTAACTAGGATCATAAACCAGAAGCTGATTCACTAAATCGTCAAATCGCTCATAAAACTCCTCTACAGACCCCGTTTGCTTAATCTGCTCAATTTGACGAATCAACGACTGATGCTGTTCACGATCAAACTTTCTGTCGACCGCAGCACAAAAAGCAGACCAATCCTGGAAAAGCATGTGAGAACGAGAGGATCGCAGCCATGAAGCAGCTCTCCCAGTGAAGTAAATCGTGGCTACTCGAACCCACAACATCGGATGTGTTCCATAAACCCCGAAATAATGCTTACACCTCATGCGCCAACTCTGTGGATCCGAACCATCAAACTGAGGAAAATCCAACTTAGGCAGCCTGTGATTATAACTACGATCCTCGAATCCCTCAATTTCATCCCGCCCCGCAAAATTTCCAGACTCAAAAGCATTGCGAGAATGAAATTGCGAATGAGACGTACCCTTGACCGGAGGTGGCACGAGAGTAGGGACCACTCCCGGTGCCCTCCCCCGGTACTGAGATGCAACGCGGTGGCTATCCAAGCCAATTTCGCCAGCCGAAGTAGAAGCGAGAAATTCCGGCGGCGTAGGAAGTAGAGGTGATCGCTTGTCCACCTCTGGAGACACCCGTGGCGGTGGCAACTTGCACGCCGTCGAAGTGTTCGACGAATTGCCCAACTCGCCATGAGTTTTCTCCAGAGCTTCCACATGAGCCCTCAACTCCTCCATCTCCACTTGCAAATCCTTGACAGCCGCATCGACTTGAGGACGCCAACTCGCCATGGATTGATCCAACTTGAGCACCACCGCTTGCGTCTCATCCTGCTTCACCGCGACTGCTCCAATGGCGTTCTGAATATTCGCCAACATCTTCTCAAAATCCCCCGCTTGCTTCTCCATGGCGTTGACTTGTGACTGCAAACGAGTTTGGAACCGAGGTTTCTCCAGGATTGCAATGGCTCTGATACCAAATGTCACGAACAGAGATTCGTCGGAAGGAAGAACAGAGAGAAACAGATAGAAACAGAGAGAAGAACAGGAAGACTTGGAGAGAGGGAAAGAATTCTTATTGACATTGTGGCATTGTGGCCAGACTCCCTTGGCGTGACATTGTGGCCAGCACTCGGCAATGTCAGCATGGAGCAATTACTGAGCCCCAAAGGGATTCTTCCGCTGATTTGGTTATAGCTGAGTTCAAGCACAGCAAAAGATGGTGCGCTGGCACAGAATGATGCCTTCCTAGGAACAGCAGTCTGTACTATTATGCCATGATGCAGTGAGGCCGATGTCCTGGGATAGCCTGGCGAGGAACCGGAGTAGGGAGCGCATTTCCTGCTCGGTGCAATGAGCCGGCTGGAGAGACGAAAGACAGCAGAAGCAGCACAAGAACAGGGCCATAGGAAAGCATCCTGCTGCATGAGGAATGCGGTCTTGGTCTCATGGTTCTTGTGGACACTATCACGGAATAGTGTGCTTGATTCAGCAAGATAAACAGGTAATGCTATTATGTGTGAAACCATGTTTGTTAGGTTTATAGAGCTAGAGACCCATTGTTGTTGGCTTGTCACCATGTGCTTAGCTGCTTCTAATGTTCTAAATCACTGGCTTGGTGTGGTGCTTATTTCTGTAAAGTACGCATTCTCTTGATTCTTTAACCAGCCTGATCTGTTAGGTTAGGTAGCTGCTCGCCTTGTTTGACAGAACTTAATGATTGTGCACTTGCACTTGAGAAACTATGCTACTTGAAGGGATTATTTAAAACCTATTTCTTAAGTGCTAACGTAGAGCAGTAGGCCAACCTATTTCTTAACCCACTTCTTTCATTTTATACTTTTGTGTTTCTCTTTGATGAATAATGCTCACCTGTTATCTGTTCATGTTGTAGCGAGTCAATGTTAATGTGGACTTCTTTTCTATGTCAGTTTTCAAGTTCTATGCACTGTTTTTTTTTTCTGTTTCAACTTGCTAAATTCTAGGACATTTCAGAAATATGCATGCTGTGTTTCAAAGTCTTTGTTGTAAATCAAGTTTTCATTGTCAGGTTTCAAGTTCTAACTCAATTAGAATTACAAGTACTGCAGTCTGGATTTCCCGTTCACATAAATTTTGTTTCTTTTTACGCAAATACAAGTCTGCTTAGTTTTATGTTTTTCTTTTTCTTGACTGCACAAAAGAAAATCCTACAGACCAGCACTTAAAAGATTTTTCCTCATTAATCTATATAAGTTTTATTAAACAAATTGGATTGTCAAACAGCATGTACTTTGTTGCTCTGTCTCTTTCTAATTGGGTGCTACATATTGACTTTACCAAAAATCAATATGAGAATATGTTTCCCATCTTCTATGCGCACAAAACCAAAGATACTTGTAATTCTACTTTAGTAACACATGTTATATGCTACTTCCTCCGTTTCACAATATAAGACTTTCTAGCATTGCCCACAATTATTTAGATGTTAATAAATCTAGACATATATATGTGTTTAGATTCATTAATATCTATATATATGAGGGCAATGCTAGAAAGTCTTACATTATGAAACGGATGGAGTACTATTAATCTTCCTGTAAAACAGTTTTGCCCTAGCTTTTAGTACGTGTTACAATCTATCCGTGTAACACATGTTTTGTGCTACTGCAATATTTCTCTGTAACACATATTACAGGTTTGTGCTACTACAGCTCTGTCCTGTACTAGTGGATGTAGAGGAATTCTACATTACTATGCATTAGAAACAAGAAAACAAAAGAAGAGGTGGAAAATAACGAATGTATATGGACCAGTTTAGAATGATAGGAAAGATAATTTTACACAGGACATGTTGAAAATATAGGGTCAAATTTGTAGTTAGACTTTAAAATAGGGTTAAAGAGCAATTGTCCCAAGTAAGAAATATGACTTTTCCGTGCTTGAAGGTGCATTTAATGACGCGTGGACCCAATACGTGAAAAAAGGGGACAAGCATAAGGAAGGAATCACCAACTTCTATCACCACCAAGACTTCCTATGCCGTCAACAAGTTGGTCACACTTGTGGTTTCCACGTGTGCCATAGCGTGAAGACTTTGCTAAATAAGGTGACATTGCTAGATGTTGAGGTTTGTGCTCATGTGTACTCAATTATAAAAATAAAAGCTAGTAGTTCAATTGTGTGTATATATATGTACATACTGACTTGGCACTTCACTTGCAGGCTAGGATTAACAACATTCCGCCGCACAACTTCGCGCACATTAGGGAGGAAATAGCTGCCTTCATACTTGCGAAAATCATATCTTCAAAAGGAAGCTTTGTTTCAAAGTAGCCCATCCAAAAATTGTTGAACAATTAACAAATTCTTATAAAAAACATGTGATTATGTGATATTTATGTATATATTATATGTAATACAATATCTGATTCTTTTGTATACATTTGCATTGTTAATTACATTACTGTTCCAAATTATAACTCGGTTCGACCATTTGGT